GCCTGTTGTACTCTGAGGGATGCAGTTTGTTTGAAAATTTATAAGGTCGGACTTTTGTTATGGATTTGGTCTGGTAGTGGTAGGGAATGAGAAGAAAGTTGATTTTGGCAGAGTGACAATTGTGATACCCTTTTGGCAAAGTGAGATTCTATGTGGCTTCACACCATTCATTCCCAGGGCTCATCCAAAACTCTGCTGCCTATATTGTTGGAACTGCTTATCTGCATTTATGGACTTTGTGGAAAACTAAAAGCTATTGAATCATTTGGACATCTCAGGATTAAATAGGGTTTTTACCAAAGAATGAGGTCAACAGGTTCATGTGGCCTGTGGTTCACTTGTTAATTACAGAAATTCAAGTGACTCTGGAAAATAACCAAGCAAAGTTTCTAGGGAGATAAGAGATGAGGCTTATTGCCTTTAATTAACAGAAAATCTAAGTTTTGAAGAGACTATGGAGCTCACTGATTAATGTTGTCTTTCTGCTCTGTGTTCTGTTTCAAAAACCTATTGAGTTCGACGGCAGAAACTGCTGAAAATAAAACTAGCAGAAAAAGCTGCAAGATAAAGTTTCTCCATCTCTTTAAATCTTCTCCATCTCTCCCTAAATCCTCATTAGTCACGAAACAGTATTGGGGAAAATTGATGGGATTAAAACCCAGTAAGTCCCCAGGGCCTGATGCTGTGCATCCCAGAACACTTAAGGAAGTGGCCCGAGAAGTAGCAGACGTTTTGGTGATCATTTTCGGTAGACTCTGGAAGAGTTCCAATGGACTGGAGGGTAGCTAATGTAACCCCACTCTTTAAAAAAGGAGGGAGAGAGAAAATGGGGAATTATAGGCTGGTTAGCCTGATATTGGTGATGGGGTAAAACTGGAGTCAATTATTAAGGATGTAATAACTGACCATTTGGAAAGCAGTGACAGAAACGGTTCGAGTGAGCATGGATTTACTAAAGGGAAATCATGCTTGACAAATCTTCTGGAGTTTTTTGAGGATATGTCAAGTAGAGTGAACAAGGCTAAATCAGTAGATGTTCTGTATCCGGACTTTCAAAAGGCTTTTGATAAGGTTCCACATAAGAGATTAGTAAGGGAAATTAAAGCTCATGGAATCAGAGGTAATGTATTGACATGAATAGAGAACTTGTTGGCAGACAGGAAGCAGAGAGTTGGAATAAACAGATGCTTTTCAGAGTGACAAGCAGTGATGAGTGGGTACCACAGGGTTCAGTGCTGGGACCCCAGCTGTTAACAATGTACATTAATGATTTGGATGAAGGACTTGAATGCAATATCTCCAAATTTGCAGATGACACTTAGCTGGATGGCAGTGTGTGCTGTGAGGAGGATGTTAAGAGGCTGCAGGGTGACTTGAGTCTTGTGTGCAGTTTTGTACTCTGTGTCTGAGGAAGGACATTCTTGTTATTGAGGGAGTCCAGCAAAGGTTCGCCAGAACGATTCCCGGGGTAGAACTGACATATGAGGAAAGATTGGATCAACTGGGCTTGTATTGACTGGAATTTAGAAGAATGAGGGGGAAAATCTCACAGAAACATATAAAATCCTGATGGGACTGGACAAGCTAGGTGTGGGAAGAATGTTCCCGATGTTGGGGAAGTCCGGAGCTAGGGGTCACAGTCTAAGAATAAGGGGTAAAATATTCAGGACTGAGAAGAGGAGGAATTTCTTCACTTAGAGAATTGTGAACCTGCAGAATTCTTTCCCACAGGAAGCTGTTGGGGCCAGTTCATTAGATATATCCCAGAAGGAGCTGGGCATGGCCCTTATGGCTAAAGTGATCAAGGGGTATGGGGTGAGGACAGGAATAGGATACCAAAATTACATGATCAGCTATGATTGTATTGACTGGTGGCGCAGGCTCAAAGGGCTGAATGGCTTACTCCTGCACTTAATTTCTATGTTTATAGCTTGGTAACCCTGAGAGTCTGAACTGTGACCACTTTCCCAAGCTTTGGAGCCAGCTTCTTTTCCATCTGAAGCCAACCTTCGATTGGAAGACCTTCTGCCAGAAATTTGATTTTGCGAGCAAGAAACCCAATGAACTGTGAGAATTTGGACTAAAACAAAAATCGAAAGAACTGTGGATGCTGTAAATCAGAGACAAAAACAGAAGTTGCTGGAAAATCGCAGCAGGTCTGGCAGCATCTGTGGAGAGAAGTCAAAGATAGCTTTTTGGATCCAGTGACCCTTCCTCAGAAGGCCTTCCTCAGACTATTAGCCAATAAGGATGTTTTCTTTTCTCTTCAGAGTCTTTGGTGTTCTTTGTGTTACATGAGTGTGTTTGTAATAGGTTAAAAGGGAATATATTTCCAATTCTGGATTACAGTTTAATGTTACCCAGCTTTACTACTTGTTTTTTAGAAATGAGCTTTATTTTATGATAAATTGATTTTTTTGAGTCCATTGAAAAAACTAGTGAAAGTCTCTTTACTCTGGATAGCTTACAAAAAGGAAGCAATTTGGATTAAATACAGCAATGTGGCTTGGTTCCAGTTATATTCCTCCCATCAGTCACAACAATGCTTTGACTCCAATCAGGTTGATGCACACACCTTGCATTCACTGACTGGCTTCTGATCAAATAACACTTCAATTTTAAAAATTCTCAGGTCATATTCAAATCCTTCATATTCAAAGCCTTTCCTCTCCCTCTGTCTTTACCCTTCTTCAGCCCTACATCTTTCCAAGATCCTACATTCCTTCAATTCTGAGCTCATGCGCATCCCTGATCTTCACTGGTCTACATTTGGAAGCTGTGCCCTCAAATTTCCAGGCCTGAAACTTTGGAATTCCCTTCCTAAATCTCTCCGTCTTTTTATCTTTCTTGTCTATTCTCATATCTCCTCAATATCAAGTGATAATGCTTCTCAGAAGTACCTTTAATATGTATAAGGCTATTTCAAGGCAAATTGTTGTTGTCGTGTTAAGACTCCAAATGCTGCTTTTGTTCAGAATTTCTTCAAACTGCTGCTCTGAGGAATTTCTCAGCCTTTAAGTATGGAAGCACTTTATAGTAAGCCAAACATATTTTTAATATAAAAGGTTGAATATTTTACAGTTACCAAGATCTGTATAATTTACTGGCTGAAAGGGTGTTGGAATCACATTCAACAGCAACGTTTTTCAAAAGGAAATTGGAAAAATAAATTAAGGGAAAACATTTACAAGACTACAGAGGAAAGAATGGGGAAGTGGGACTCATTGAATAGCTCTATCAGAGAACCATACAGTATGATGGACCCAATGGCATGCTCTTGTATGACATGATTCTCTGATTGTCCAAAACAGTGTTGGTTAACCATATTGCTTTATTTACAAAGCTAATGGTACCACATGTTTTTCATTGTTGGTACTACATCTGAGCTGCCTCTTTGAAGTTGTTGGTTAGTCAACATTAAGCTTTACATTATTTAACTGCCTATCGCCAAATGAAATACATTCCATTAAAACAACATTAACCAGTTGTAAAGACCCTTAGCTCCAAACTACTTCACAAAATAAATCTTGCAGACACAAAGGAACCACAAATAAGTATTTTGAGATGGTTTACTAAAACAAAGGTGAGGGGTAAAGGGTTGAAGGGATTTGACATGTCCAGAGAATACAGTCCAAAGCAAACCAACCTTTACAAAGGCTACAATGTTGTGGAAGATCCATAATCAATACCTCATCACAACTGGCGATGAGCAATAAAAATTGCCTTGTCAGCATTGCTCACACCCTGAAAACAAATCAAATTAGAGCTGAAAACTTTGTCAGCAAGGTTTGGTAGAATGGAAGAGAATACACCCCATTCCTAGATTTAGAGAAATAAAATGTTCAAGATGATAGATGGCTGCAAGAAGTTACAAAGGTGGGATCATGGAAGCATTTGAAAATGAGCACAATGATTTTAAATTTAAGGACAATGTAGATTGAAAAGGGTTTGGCTCTCGGAATACAGGACTGATCGTGGAACTGGATACACATAGCAGATGAGTATAGAACATATTTACCAATTGACACACCTAGTCTGAAAGATGACACTGGCTTAGGATTGATCCTACAGCTTATCTCCTATGTCAATAACTTTTGTATTAGGTCTAGTCTTCAGCCAAAGTATTGATCAAATAGATACTTGGCTTACTTCACTGCCTGTAAATTCACTGCTGGAAATTGTCCACTTTGTAGTGATCCCAAGTATCACTTATGCTGCCTACATTGGGATCATGACTACTTTCTGGAACATGGCAATGGGGCAATGTTGAAATGACATACATCACGTGGTAGAATGAGAGGTGTGAGCAAAGCAAGTATGCTATTCTTTGACATAGGTGGGCAAGGGTGGCAGCAAGTAGGTAACTAAGCTTGTAAATACAATAGCAGACAAAGGGATGTGCAATCAGCTTCAGCAGAGAGCTCCTGAAGAGGATAATGAAATTTTGCAGTCCTAACAGCAGCTCAGTTGATACATTGCAGGGGGATACCTATTATTTATTGGATAGTTATGGAATGTCAGGAGCAAAGCCATCCCTAGTGGGATGGGAGACCATAGCAAATCACACTCCCTCAGGACAAATAATACTGGATCACACACCCCCCAGGTCAAATCACACTGGATGGCACCATGCACCCCCAACACCAGCAGCCCCCACTACCCCACATTCATGGGAACCAATCATACTGTGCAGCAACTCTTCTCCTTCCCCCACAAATCTCCAGATTTCCATTCCACAAATAAAGGTCTTAGATTCTGCAGATTTAATTTTGCTATGATTACCATGCATTGCTGTACCTTCTATATTCCTCCTTTATTTGGAATTATCCCAATTACAATGAAGTTCAACTCATGTTCAACAAAAAACAAACTCAGCAATAATAATCAGAGATAGTAAGAACTGCCAATGCTGGACTCAGAGATAACACAGTGTGGAGCTGGAGGAACACAGCAGGCCAGGCAGCATCAAAGGAGCAGGAAAGTTGACATTTTGGATCAGGACCCTTCTTCAGAATAGCTCAGTTGGTAGAACATCAAACTTTTAATCTGAGGATCCAGGGTTCAAGTCCCTGTTCGGGTGTTGCTTTTAAATCAGAGTTCCACTCGCCGAAAACCCTCACAGTATTAAAATCAACTTGGATTCAAACTATATAATGAGCACTGAGACATAATCAGAGCATGCTGCCCCTTCACTCACTCAAAGGTCAGTCCCAGCATGGCTTCAGGTTTCTCCCAGAGGGCTTATGGTCCCAGTGCAGGGAGCCCAAAGCATGAAACTCGGGGCGGTCGTCCAATTTGTCCGACCCTTGGGACAGTTCTGGTTATGAGGCATTGTAATGACTCAGGCCACTAGTGATAGGTTAACAGATAAATAAATGATAAGATGGGGATTTCAGGTTGAATTTCAGCATTATGTGTGTGCAGACGACAGGAAATACCATTCTATTTCTGTTGCCTAAAATAACTAGAACTTGCTTTCGTACTTACAATACAGGGAAATTAGACTAATTACCTCTCTCTTTCAGAAAGCTGGCAGAATGGCCTACTTTGGTGCTGAATTATTTGACAATTCATATTGAGACAATGCAAGGTGGAAAATTACAGGTTTGAGAGCTTTTACTATGAGATTATGTAAAAAGCACCATCTCAATGTTAGTGCCAGGACTGTGATGCTGCTTCCCTTTCCTGTATGTACATCAAAGCTATTCTTAAACCATTTCTATATTGTGATTTTTCCATTTCTTTCTTAAAGACCAGCACTGTTAGATCCTACACTTCATCTGTTGGTTGTACAAGAGCTAAAAATACAAAAGCATATGCGACTGACATTTTGAAATGTACTATAATTCAACATTTGAACCCAAAAATAATATCTGGAGTGATATATATACTTATTCTGGAGCATTTAGAATGAATGATTGAATAAAAACAATGCTGAAGAGTTGCAATAAGTCTAACAGCATCTACAGTGAGAGAAACAGGTGACCTTTCAAGTGCAATATGACTCTTCTTTGGAATTGTTGGGTTTCTCTAACACTTTGTGTTTTTACTTCAGCATTTTCTGTTTTTATTTCAGATCTCCAGTATCTGTCGTATTTGGCTTGTGCATTAGAATGAATGAATGCTGGTTGGTTTCAAATACTGAATCATGCAAATTGCTGGAAAGGGGCCAAAAGAATATTTTCCTGAGGATTCACTAGCAAAATGTTTTTACAGCTTTGGCAAAGGTTTCCAAAACTGCTTTTATAAAAGTTGCTGTGGTTTGCCAGCTACTCTGAAAATTACAATACTGAGATATCTCTAGCTTAAGTCATCATCCTTTCCCTCACCCATAATCCTCTCAGAAGGAAAACTAGGGCATGGGAGAGGATAAGGGCATCAAATGAAACTGAACAGAGTCAAAAGGGTACAGAAAGTGAACAATAGAATCAGTGAAGCTGAATCTTCCTACACAAGAGGAAAGAACAGGAAGAATCCTTCTGTTAGGCTCATGATGGATGGTTTAAGAGTCTGAGCATGTGTCACATTTTCTGTCACTTCTGTCACAGTGGATGCAAATAACAATTTCTCCCCAGTTCTGATTCCACTCCTCTCTCCCACCGCTGCCACCCTCCCCAGCAAAATAAAAACCCCAATGTGGATCAATTCTAGGAAAGACATGAGCTGAAGTGTAGGCACAGTTTCCACTTTGCTATTCTTATGTAAAAGGGTGAAAATTGCTGCAACACTTACAGAAAAGAAAAGACAATTCAAAGGCATACAAAGCATCAACATTTATGAATCATGAGAAGGACTAAGATATTTGCCAACTCACCATTCATCCATCGTCCCCTTGGACCAAGTATTCCAGTAAATGTTAACCCAGTAACCAGAGGTTAGAACTTTCAAGTCTGTGGTGCAAGAGCTTCAGGACCCTGGAGCAGCATTGCAATGGTGTCATAGAACTGCACATCACTGAACATAAATAGCACAGCATGGGCAGTTAGAACACTGTGAGAGACTCACATGAGCACATTGACACGAATAAATAAAGATAATATACTTGCATTAGGTAAGGACAAATCTATGTCAAAGCCTTGTATATGTATAATTATTACTAAATACATAGGGATGCATAATAAAGTATTACTTTAAAATCTCAGCCTGAAGACAACACATAACATTGCCTTCTTTTTGACCATTCTATCTTGAATTCAGACTCATATGGTGCCATCAAACCACACAACAAAAGAATGTCTTGTTTGCCGAGGCTACAATGTAGAGGCCTCATTCAATTATTCCAGTAATTAGGCGGTTGGAATTTTCTTACTGCTCGGGGTGGACCGCTTAATGTTTGGCTGAAGCTCATAACCTCCTAATTCAGAGGTAAGAATGCTATCACTGAGCTAAGATTCATTTTAAAATTCACTGCACTTTACGTAAGTAAAGTTGAAGTATTGTATGAAGTGACAACTCTACATCAGATGTGTACATAGTAACTAGGAGCACAAATACGTGATTTGGCCTCTTGAGCCTGCTGCGCGATTCAATTTGATGATGGCTGATCCTGTGTCTCAATGCCATATTCCCACTTTTTCTCCATAGCACTCGATGCCTTTAACATCCAAAAATGTATCAATCTCTTTCTTGAATGTATTCAGTGACCCAGTTTCCACAGCTATCTGAGGTAGCAAATTTCAAAGTTTTATCACTGTCTGAGTGAAGAACTGTCTCCTCATCTCATCCAAAGTGACCTATCCACGGTCTTGAGACTGTGACCCCTAGTTATAGTCTCCCAGTCCAGGAGAAACATTTTCCCTGCACCTAGCCTGTCTAGCCCTGCTCGAATTTGATACATATCAATTAGATCCCCTGCCATTCTTCTAAACTCTAGTGAATACAGACCCAGTCGAATCAATCTCTCGTCACATGTATCAGTCTAGTGAACCTAATCCTTGCAATATCCAAGTTCAGTATCAAGTTCTGCAGCCGGGAACTTCATTGAGCAGCACCTCCTTTCCCCATATTGCCTGCACTGACACAGGATGGCTTGAGAATGTGAGGGATTTATTCTACTTTCCATCAGACCTATTTGATCATTCTGGACTGACAGATATGCAAATGATCATACGTCAAACTTAGAAATCCTGTGGTTCAATTTATTGCATCCTTGCTTCTGAGTCAGAAGCTCTGGGTTCAAGTTGCACAGCAAGAACTTTTGACCACAGATCGTGCATTGATGGTGCAGTTCATAAGTTAGTAATCAGTCTGCTAATTCTTCCAACTTCCTCCTTTTCACAAAGGTTTGATTCCAACCTCAGGCTACTGTCTGTGTGGAGTTTGCACATTCTTCCTGTGTCTGCCTGTCTGGAGGGTTTCCTCCGGGTGCTTCAGTTTCCTTCCACAGTCCAAAGATGTGCAGGTTTGGTAGATTGGCCATGCTAAATTGCCCGTAGTGTTCAGGGATGTGTAGATTAGAGGGGGATGGGTCTGGGGTGGGATGCTCTGAGGGTCAGTGTAGACTTGTTGGGCTGAAGGGCCTGTTTCAACACTGTAGGGATTTTATGATTTAAGAATCTACTCAAAATCCAATCTCTTAACCAACCTTTGAATACTCCTTCTAATGGCTCTTACTATGGTATGACATCCATTCTTTGGTTATTCATCTATAAAGTGACCCATGTTGTTTTTTATTTCCATTACTTGCAAAGTAACAGGAATTTGTACACACATTGCACCTTTTTCAAAAAGAAAGTGGCCATGGAGGTAGCCAAACTCAACTGCATCCCCATGGCAATGCAGAGACCAATTAGAATCTAGCTGCCTGATCTGAGAATTAAAATTGACAGTTAACTGTATCTCCATGCCAATGATGACTCAACAAATTAGCACTTTGTTCTCATTCTATGCAAAATGTAATGTGAGTGCCTCAGAATCACGTGGCTCAGTGGTTCGCACTACTGCCTCACAGCGCTGGGCACCTGGGTTTGATTCCAGCCTGAGGTGATTGTCTGTGTGGGTTTCCACTGGGTGCTCTGGTTTCCTTCTACTGTGCAGGTTAGGTGGATTGGCCACGGTAAATTGCCTCATGGTGTCCAGGGATTAGCCATGGGAAAAATGCAGGGTTACAGGGATAGGATAGGACCCTGTGTGGATGGGATGCTCTTTGGAGGGGCAATGTGGACTCAATCCGCCAAATGGCCTGCTTCCACACTGTTGGGATTCTATGATGAAGAGTATTGTAAAATTTTTAAATCAGTCACAAAAAC